GTATACATTTTAATGGAGAGAGTAATAAATATGAAAATGCATATAATTTTTGTGTGGACTTTAAAAAAATACAAATTGACATAGAAAAAGGATAAAACACACAAGGCTTATAAAAATACAGATGCCATAGAAAGCAAATCAGGCAGATTTGTTCATTCATACTCCTAATAAACTCTATGCATATTTGTATAGGATTGTGCTGCAATCAGTTGCCATTTAAATAAGTTGTACTTAGGGTAAGTTAGTTATGACAAAAAAAATTGTATTTTTTGTTAAGACATGTTAAGTACATAGTAGAGCCAGCATGGTATAATGATTTGAATATTGGGCTATGACTTGAAGGCACACAACAACAAACTACAAAAGCAGTACAAAATTTTTCTAGAAAGCACAATATAGGCTGAGTCCCCCTTATCTGAAATTCTTGTTTTGGATTTTGGATTTTTTTTTATTTTGGAATACCTGTATTTGCATATACGTATATAATGAAATATTTTGGAGTTGGAACCCAAGTCTAAACATAACATTAATTTATGTTTCATATATATCTTATGCACATAGCCTGGAGGTAATTATATACCAGGGGTAGGCAACCTTTCCCCTTTAAGGGCCGAGGGACTTCAGCTCCCAGAAACCTCAGCCATGTTGGCCAATAGTCCCATGTTGGCCAATAGCTCCTGGGATTCTGGGAGCTGAAGTCCCTCGGCCCTTAAAGGGGAAAGGTTGCCTACCTCTGTTTTATACATTGGCCCTTGGTATCCACTGGGGTTTGGTTTCAGAACCTGCCATGGTTACCAAAATTTGTGAATGCTCAAGTCCCATTAAATACAGTAGCATAGTAAAATGTCCCTTATATAAAATGGCAGAATCAAGGTTTGCTTTTTGGATATATATATATATGCCATGAATGGTTGAATCCATGGATAAAGAATCTATGGATACAGAGGACCAACTGTATAATATTTTTTAAATAATTTTGCTCATGAAATGAAGTTTGTGTATACTCTGAACCATCAGAAAGCAAAGGTGTCAATATCTCAGCCACCCACAATAAAAGTTTTGGGTTTTGGAATATTTTGGATTTCAGAATTCTACATAAGGGAGACTCAACCTGTACCATTTCAAGTTAGCATCGAAGGAACCTAAGGGCAACTAAGGTGTAGTACAATCTTTCATTTATCCTATCAGAAGAGATGTATAGAATTGCAGCCTTAATCTGGATCTATCCCATTGCTTGACTATGCAATGTCTTGTTGGAGTTTGACCTTCCTTGTAAGGAAGAAATCAGTATTTTTTGTAGAGCTGTGTCTATATCTGCCATCCTGTTGTTGTTGTATTATTCATTTATATCCCACCTTTCTCCCACAACAGGGACTTCTAGCTTCTACTCTGGTTTCTTGTAACAAACCTTCTAGATACCCTTCTTCCTAAATGGTGCTCCTTGTAGACCATTACACTTTTTCTGTAGTATACTGCAATCAGGTAAATTTGCTGCAAGTACTATTTGGATATAAAAGATGTGCTGCACAGAAGTGGACGTGGTACCTATCTGGCTTCCACCTCTCAGGTTGTGTGAGAAAGTAAATATGTCCTATGCAAATGTGTCCAAATATAATGCCATTCTCAAATCAAGCCATAGAATCA